CGAGTGACGAACAAGGTGCTGAAGAAACTCGGTGAGTCGGCGATCGAGAACTTGACGGGCTATTACAACCGGTGCTGGTGGGCTGGGACTCTTCCACGGCAATGGAAGGCGGCCAAAACCATACTGATTCCCCAGCCGTACAAGCCGCCGAACATTGAGAACTTCCGGCCCACCTCGCTCACGCCCTGCGTATGCCAGGTGCTGGAGCATGTCCTGATGAACAGGTGCCCGTGGTACCTGGAGGAGTCGGGGCTCTACCCATACATGGTCATCGGCTTCAGGAGCAAGCTGGGTACCCAAGATGCTATGATTCAGCTCAAGAGCGAGAATTTGGACGACAACACCAGGTCGAGGAATAACAGTGCCGTGCTCGGCCTGGACCTGCAGAGTGCCTTTGACAAGGTGACGCACTCAGCGATTCTGGCGCAGGCGTCGAGGCTAAACATGAGCGCGCGGTCATACAGATACATCAGGGACTTTCTGCCGGGTCGCACGATTGAAATAACGTGGGCGACCTTCAGCTACCGGAAAACAAGCTGGACAACGTGGGAAACCTTCAAGGGTTGGTCATCTCGCCGCTGCTGTTCAATCTAGTGATGATTGGAGTGGCCGAACGGCTTTCGCGCGTCAGCGATGTTCGGCACACAATATACGCCGACAATATACGCACACCATATACGCCGACCCCAGGTGCACAACCATGCTTAGTGGTTCCACGACCGCGGCGCAGAACTACGCCAGAGGCAGAATATGTGTGGCAGCAGCGCGGGTGTGGCACGCGGTGAACCTAGTGGACAGAACGGTGACAATTAAGTGGTTTCCGGCCCACATGGGTAAGGAAGTGTCGCCTCGCGGCAGCGCGAGCCACAACTACATGGTCAACGAGGTGGCGCCAGGCTTCACATACCGCATCGCCTAACCGGCCGGCTCGATGGAGGAGTCGTGGTGCTAAGTCAAAAAGAGATGAATACAGTGAAGTATTGAAATGGTACAGACTAGGGCGTGGGACTATGCCCCCGCCTCACCCAGGCCTGACCCGAAGTGATGCGGTAGCGTTCCGGCAACTGCAGACGGGGTCGCTACCCACGCCGGTGCTCATGAAGCACGTTCGTTCTAACGTATACGCAATTAACTTGTGTGGCGTATGTGAAACTGAAAGAGCTACTGCGGCCCTCATTTTGTGATTTTGTGAACAGAACTGAGAGAGGCAAAAACAGTGACGACGATCCCACCGTGCCTTAGAGCCGTCGCGGAAAGCGACCAGCCAATAAAGCAGACACGGACCGTCCAGTGGATCCAAGCTGCCCTCGAAAAGCAGCGCCTGAGCGAAAGCTTCAAGTGCTCGCTAGCACCCCCTCACAGGGGCTGGCGAGGGTGCCAGAAGGTGGCAGTAGCGCGGACTGCTCGCCGAGTAGAGGACGTCACGCCGAGGTGACGTATGGCAGCATCACGATGACCCTCCCGTCGCGGAGCTAGGATTGTCGTCCGCTGGATCACCAAATAATTCTTACTCTCACCCCTTTTGCGTGTTCTTTAGGCAAGATGAGCATACTCGGTGCGAACCGCGTTCACTGCCAAAAGTATCTGGTGTCACTTTTCACGCCCGTTCGCTTCATTGCTGATCACTAATGCACGGTATTTGCATGCTGAGCTCTCTACTGCACGCTCTGTTGTTTATTACTCATTGTATCAACTTACATGCGCAAACTTTTGTTTTTTGGCGTCGAATGCATTGTATCACGTTGTTAAAAGTTGTGTCTTTCATACGAAAGGGCAATCAACTCTTCTTTTTGTTATCAGACTATGATTGCATGTAATGGGCCGTGTGCGCTCACTGCGTGTTAGCTGTATGCACACTAGAATTACAAACGTTACGTGCACGAACGCTTATATATTACAGTGGTGTTTTTTTTGTTCAACGTACAAGGTTCGCGTTGCACGGAATAACTACTAAGCAAGATATGAAAGTTATGTAATGCTACACTGACAGCGTATATACGAGCAAAGAACCGCTAATCGGCCCGTAGACCAGGAAATCGGGCTCGAGAAAGGATAAGAAAGGCATGTCGCCAATCAGAACGCACAAGTCACTGCCGGGTGAGTTCGAATACGTTGATTCACGGGCTGAATGTTTTTGATTGCGGCATGTGCTGGTGCTTTCTGGGCGATTGCACAAAAAGAATGCACGAATAATTTAAGCACGCATCGCTCGGGCCTGCCACGCACGAACAACCTAGGAAACTTGTGATCGCAACGTTTTACAGCATGCAAACCATGCACACAATAAGTGCTAAACTACGCTGGGACTATAAATTTATGCAGAAGTGAACCAGAGTGGAGACGTGAACGTCACGGAGCGTCTGTTGTTTTGTTTACCCCATACCGGTTTGTTTTCCTCATAAATTTGAGGTCACTTCCGCCACACTTCTCGCAATGCATTGGTATAAGACAGGGTCTCTATTTTCTGCATCCACTACCTCGTCGTTCTCACATTTTCAGCAACAATTTCGGCAAGATGCAACGTCACGCAACGCCATATTTACGCTACATATTGTCAGGACTTGTGATGCAATGGCCATCATCACTGCTACCCCCAATCGCGTTGCAGACATGGCGATTTTTCATCAAGCGAGCAGTAGTTTTCATAAACCGCAAGTTGACCGTGCGCACAGCTTAGTACCATACTTCAGTTTCATTATTTATTCTAAACTTTTGTTTATACAACCCGAAAGCACAGTGAAGCCATACTTAGGAAGAAAATAGCCAATTTTTATTGCATTACGTTATCGCAAATTTCTGTGTCGTTACGATATGACGCGCCGACACGCGAACAACCTCAAATAACCAATCAAACCAGTGTGGCAGAATTTTTCGACATGGCGAATTTCGACATAGTCCAGAATGGCACCTCAGGTATCAAACTACGGCCTGCCACAGCGCGCAAACTCAAATTGCGTCCACACGATGTCAGTGTTTATGTGCTTGTTTAATTTACTTGATTGATATGTGGGGTTTAGTGTCCCAAAGTTACCATGTGATTATGACAGACACCGTAGTGGTGGGCTCCGGCAATTTCGACCACCTGGCGTTCTTAAACCTGCACCCAAATCTGAGCACACAGTCCTACAGCATTTTCGCCTCCATCCTCAGTGCAGCCACCGCAGCCGCGATTTAATCTCATGATCTGTGGGTCAGCAGCCGAGTGCCTTAGCCACTAGACCACCGCAGCGGGGAATCTGTGCCTGCTCCTCCTAAGCAGCTGCCCTTAACCGGGTCACGAATTCATTGCATGACTACATATGAATTATGGTCTGAGTAGGAGCTTGACGCTCCATGAGCTTCATTGCATGCAAAGAGTAGGTGCAAGTTCATACAGTCAACAGACAGAGCTCGACAAATAAACACTAAAATCGGGACTCGCCACGAGTGCCAATGCTGCAGGGCTCCATCGCGGAGTAAGAACTTCTCAAATGTTGAACCTTATTGTATGGTTGAAGTCGGAACAGAGGGAAATAGCTTGCATGGTGGGTGCCTAGATACATGGGCCACACAAGAGAGGTAGAAAACGTGTTTTTGAGTGGCGGGCGTACGGCCAGCGTTGGAGTGGGCCACTTTAGTGGTGTAACGTTTAATGCGAGTATCTGCTTGAAACGTATGCTTATAAAATACTTTAGGCAAAAGAAATGATTCTAAACAGTTGCTTTTGCTGGCTTGAGTGAGTTCGCATTTAGTTGACTGCGCTTTTGTCTAGACGTAACTTCCCTTGATTACGTCTGAAACGTCCGCTGCGTGCAAATGGCACAACAATGGCGTATAAGATGCCCATGAGAGTATTAAAAACAAAATATTTCGTTGCCTGCTACAACCTATTCTGAAATAAACAGGTTATAAAGAGTTTTATATCACGAAGCACACGATTTATTGGTTCAAGTGAGTAAATCTTTTAGTAATAAAAACTTCTCTGAGGCTACGTAGAGATGTAGTTTTCACTTCACTAATGCTAAAACAGGCAACAATAATACAGAAAAAGTTAGCTATGGCTACAATTTGTCGCATGCCATTCATTTTAATGAGGCGACCATCGAGAGACGGTTGCATCGTGTGCTATATAATAGCCAGAATCGGGGAAGTTAGCATGCTAACTCGCTTTGCGCGATTAATTTGGCAGATGGTTTTCTCGTTCATTCTTCGCTTCTGCTTCAATACCTGCTCATGATCGTGCGGTGGCAAGTCGCGAAAGCTGAAAGAGCATAAAAAAAAAGATGGCGCATGCGATGCGCTTGAAGAAAGTATTGGGATCGCAGCAAACAAATCTTGGACCGTATTTCACAGCCTAAAGACACAAGCGGTGGTTTTACGGTACTTTTCATCTTTTTTGTGTGCACATCCTTCTTGCTGAGTGCAGATGCACGTTTTTCGCAGTGAATGTTGAAGGTACGTTGACGAGATAATGCTGCAGCGTTGTTCATTGCCGTTGTCGCGTTCACATTGTTTGGTAATGTTTCATCAACATCGGTGGAAAGCAATGTCAATGTTCGGCAACGTAAATGTTACAGAAATGTTACTATAAGTTGTCCAACGTTGCACAACATTCAAAACATTCCTCTAATGTCGCAGCAACATCTTTTACTAACAGGGTAGGTGCGCTACGATTGAAGTGCGACATTGAGGAACAAATATCAATATTCTTAAAAGTGATATTCAAGGGTGAAGCGATTGTTGTGGTTTACAAATTGCATTTGTTTCCCCAAGAATTTTTATTTATGCGCGATATACAAAACCTTTTGTCTACAGCAATAAGAAAAGCCCTAATATGTCAAATCTTAATATGCCACATGTCGATAAAAATCAGCGTTACCGAACAGCCCAATTGAAATCATAGATGACGGAGACCAGCCGCGTGCCGCACTATCTGCATTTATCTGCGTGAACACATGCCGCAGCAAGGCTGGAGGTGAGCATGCGCCGATGGAATCAGTGGCACAGTAGCTAGCCAGAACGGACGGTCGACGAGCCTAGAATTTTCGGTGATCCTAGTACCGCCGGCGTTTCAGAGCTGATCCCATCGCCGGTAGGGGCTGCGCCCGGTGATAGTGTAGTGACATGAGCGCAGGACAGGCAGATGCTGCAAACCCAAGCATCGCCTTTTCCGCAAGGTCAGCGACTTCCAAGTTGAAGCCAGAGGTCCATGATGCTGAGAGTGTGCTGTTGAGCGTTGGTCACTCGACGCCGTCTGCAGTTTTTGACGCGGCTGAGCAGCGGCACCTGCAAGAACTCGCTTTGCAGTTTACGGAGCCATCCTCGGCCTCGGAGGCAGTTACGACGCCTTCGAACCTTTCAGTCGCTCCTGAGGTCTCGAACGCGACTGAAGACGTTTTTATTACAGAGACGCCCGAGACTGGGCCACTGTTACTGGAAGCTGCAGAAAACGGACAACGGAGTGACGGAATCGTCCAGCGTGCCTCCACCGTCACGGCTCCGGTGCCAGTGGCACCCATAACTGTCAGCCTGATATCGGAACCAGTGACAAAGCTGCAGGTATGTGTTATTTGGGCTTCTCTAAAGAAGGTGCCTTGCACTGATTGATGACGTTGTCCACTTGCTTATGAGGGCGGCCTTCCGAGCGAAAAGGGTTCCTCGGTCTGTTATCTTTTCGGAGTTTATACAGCTTTGCAATTTCAAATTGCCTAAAATATCTCAATTGGCGCGGTATTCTGCGGCTCTACGCTGCCCCGTTTTCGTGCACGCAGTAACATTATAGGCTAGTACAAACACTTCAGAAGGCAAACAGTAGAAGCAGGAGCATTCTTCTTAGTGCATAATTAACATATTTTTTATAATGTGCTACGTGCTATGAACCGAGTTTCCAGTAATCTGGGAACTTGAGTTAGTTTGGTCTGGGCACCTAAAATTGGCACTCGCTCTTTGCACATTTTTTATGTAACCGGCCCATTAGCATGTAGCCACTGCCTTCTGGGGGTTGTCTCGTAATTCCTGCGAGCTATCTTTATTGCTTTAGAAGCTTTCGATAAGGCTGCGCTCACAATGCAAACAGATTTTATTCAGTAAAAACACGGCCACCAACTGTAGCCATGGATGTTCGATTCCACTTTTCCGCGTCGGTGGTTTGGAGGTTATGGTGTTTGTCTGCTGACCAGCAGGTCACGCGGGATTGAATCCCGGTTGTGGCGGCCACAATTTGATGGAAGCGCAATGGTCGAGGTGCATGTGCTTACATTCGGATGCACAATAAACAAGCCCTCTTAATTTTCGGAGCCATGCATAAAGCATTCGTCATGGGGGCATCGTGGTTTAGGAAGTAAAACCCCAAACCAATCTTGTTATTCGTAATACTATATTTATCATTATTGTTCATAATAATAATAATAATAATAATAATAATAATAATAATAATAATAATAATAATAATAATAATAATAATAATAATAATAATAATAATAATAATAATAATAAATATTATTATTATTATTATTATTATTATTATTATTATATAATTAGGGCATTATTATTTCTTAACTGTTACTACCAGTATCCTCAAGTTTCGACATACCTATACGATGTTCAAAAAGCACATTCAAGTCCACCGCGGCAATGTGGCGGTGAGGATAGTCGGCTGCTGATCGATGGTTGCGGGTTCGAACCCGGAAGCGGCAGTCGCCTTTTGATGAAGACGAAATGCGACAGTATCTTGTACTGTGTGATGTGCTGTCCGTATACTGACGGAATCACTTTTTTGTAAAGCGCTCAGCCAGCCCCTGCTGTTTTCTGCAGAAATATGGAAGTACCGAAGCCATAAAGACCAGAAACAGAAACATGGTCACACCGCATGCTAGGCTCATGTGCTGTAATTCAAACATGAACCAAAGCTTTCAGTTAACGTGAGATGGAAAGTGTAACACCAAAACATTGTCGAGAACCACGCGCCCCGCTGCTCTAGACAACTGTGATTCTATCCGTCCTATCCCGGCTGCGGCGGCTGCATTTCCGATGGAGGCGGAAATGTTGTAGGCCCGTGTGCTCAGATTAGGGCACACGTTAAAGAACCCCAGGTGGTCGAAATTTCCGGAGCCCTCCACTACGGCGTCTCTAATAATCATATGGTGGTTTTGGAACGTTAAACCCCACTTATGAATCAATGAACGTGGGGAAATTGTGCAAGGAATGATATGTAAAGATGATGATGAGCGGCCGCACTCTTGCGCTGACGCTGATTCCCTCTCGTGGATGTTTCCTCTTGCTTTTTAATTTCAATGCGTTTGATGTGGCAATCACGACACTAGATTTAATAAGAATGTATAAAGTGTCTTTGTTGGTTCGTTCTTTAGTTTATTTTGCTATATAGTGCTAATAAGGAAGGGCGAGCCAGGCTCTCGTTCCGACAGATCCTAGCTTTAAGCCCATGAGACTTGCATGGTTTCTGGAATTGGTTTTATTTATTTATTTATTATACCCTCAGGGTTTTCACATTACAGAGGGGAGGGGCATGTTACATGTAAAAATTGGAAACACTTGATAAATATATACAAGAACAAAATTTCAATAATTGGCAGAATAATACAGAATTACGTTATATATAAACTACGTCAACAAAGGCAACGTAGCAGTAGCGATAATGCAGGTAGTAGATGTTCAAGCACTAAGCAAAGAACAACACACTCTCAAAAACAACAAAAACAAACAAAAACGACATGACACATATACACATACATACATCCATATATACACATATATAACACAACGCAGAAATCAAGTAGCGCCAAACAAGTTTTGTACAAAAACCTTAAAACTTGATGTGTCGGTGATTGTGGTAGCTGATCGTGGGAGCAGATTTCATTGAGATGTAGTTCTCGGAATGAAAGCGTGCAAATGGGTTGTGGTTCTGCATTGAGGAACATGAACTTTTTGTGGATGATCGATTCTGGGTGATATGAATAAGGGAGGTTTAATTAAATGTTCCCGAAGGCTATTGTTATGATAAAGCTTCTGAAAGAGACTTAGCGGGGCTATTTTACGCCGAATGGCGAGTTTAGGAAGGTTGAGCTGAGATTTCATTAGTGTAACACTGGCCGTACGGGTATAATTGGACAAGATAAAGCGAACTGAACGATTCTGGACTGCTTCCAACTCATGTGTTAGTGTAGTGCCACCAGGATCCCAGATGGATGATGCGTATTCAAGTGATGGCCGAATGTAGGTACTGTAAAGAAGCTTCTTAAGGGATGAAGGTACCATGTAGAAGTTTCTGCGAAAACAGCGCAGAAACTTCTACATGGCACCGTAATGTGGCATGCAATATTTTGCATGAAGTTGCCACTTCATGCAAAATATTGCGTTCCACATTACGCCCTCGGCTAGAAAGTGTTCCGCACTTGCCATTTGGCTACGAGTGGAGGTGTACGACACTACCAGGGGTTAAAGGTGCAGAAATTCCCACCAAAGAAGAGGGGCCATGCCCTACATTGGTGCTGAATTGGTAGAGACTTTGTTGGGGATCGATTAGGAAGACTGTGGCTTCTGGCATTACCTACGGAAAGAGTGCGTCTCTGTTGACGTCCAATTCATTCCAATTATTATAGTAATTGCTACACTTCAGTTAAACACTTCTCGCCCGTGCTTTCTTCTCATAAATGGTCCGTTACTTTCATATAGCCTCGCTAACACACGTGTGTACAGACGAGCTATAAAAAAAAGAATAGTTCACTGTTTAACTAATAGACGGCGCGCAAGTACAGACGAATTAAAGAAAAAGTAATAGATGGCTTGAAAGAACAAACACGAACGAAAGAAACGACAGACAACGGCGCTGACACGCAACTAAAATTATTTGAAATGACCAGAATAAATATATCAACGAAAGAATGATTATAAGGAACCATTACGCGTGCCTAATGTAACCATAGTAACGAAGGAACCAGTCGCTGATTATACATGAACATGATGAAAACAATCCTTGAATTATCACACTTCTCCCTTCGATAAAGCTGCCGAAGGTTGGTTGATGCAATCTTGACATGCGAGAGACTTGTAAAAGGCTTCCATAAGCTACCGCGTGCGCTGATCCATGCGCCGATGAAAAATTTGTGCTATATAAACTTAGGTTACAGGCGCTCTGGCAACAATAAAGACAAATTGAGAACCTGTGCTGTTTTTAATGTTTTGAACGTGTCCTTAGATCCTAACGTTAACACACCTTCCAGCTTGCTCTAAGCCAATATTAACACAAGAATATGAATTGTTTACAATATTAGTTTTGAATATGTACACTTTTTCTTATGTCTAAGGGCACACATAAGCCGCTTGTCTCTCTTCTCTTTATTTAATGCTCTGTTCATGGCTGGACATACCTGTTGCAACTTGTGGCCAGCGCTGAAGAGGTCAACATGTTACCTCTTAGTCATATTGTATATTCGGTGCGATAACATATGCATCCAAAAATATCTGCTGAATATTTTCTTGTGATAGTGCGATTGCCATCAGCTGTTCTCTTTAGCCTAACATTCACTGTTTTGCCACTATTTCGCAAGCTCTACTGATAACTCAAATGGGATATCCTGTTTTTTTTGTCTTGACACCTACCTCATGAAACCTTGTTACACTTGCTGATGACACGATTGTAACAAAAACTGAACGCATGCAACGGTAATAATGCTTTTGAATGTTTCGACAAAAACTCTTGTAAAATCGTTTTCCGCTCGACGGGAATACTCAGCAAAAGGTACACATCATGGAAAAAATGCCCGTAAATCTGGGAATTGCAAGTGTTTCCAGACAGGTGGTTCACATTTGCAATGTAAAACATGTATTCGTTCATGATCGAAGTGCAGTAGCTTGCGTAGCAAACCGTTCTCAAGAAATCGTTTGAGGTGTTATCTATATGTGCAGCACTCGGCGATTAAAATAGAACACTCGGAGCGCGTGGCCGTATGCTCATGCAATGGCGCTCTTGGGTGCTCGCGGGACCCGTGTGTTGCATTGTGTATCAAAGCAAGGCGAAGAAGCAGCAGAACCGCTCCTTCCGGTCACCAACTTTCTAGCATGTGGTTCACCATTGCGTTATGCTTCCACGCTTTCGTGCGCCAGTCGAAATGGCTCACCAGTGCACGCCTCTTATCGCCGCGAGCTCTGGACGCTGTCGTTACATTCGCTTTTGCCGTGCGGCACGCATGCTGTCCAAGTCCTTCTTCAATCGCGAAGTCTGTGCAGGCTCCGTGCATTTACAAGCTGTCTCGCAAAAACTTGCGAATGCATCTCATGCTTGACTCGCTTCTTGGAGCACATACCTAATAGGCTTATGCCAGTGCCGACACGCAAAAGGCTGATCAACTGCAAATTATCTCGCCAGACTGGAACGAGTAATACCGGACGCGTTTGTACGTAAGCAGTATTTTCTCTCGGTGTTCTCTACCTTCTTGAAGGTGCTTGACACGACTAGGCAAAGTGGAATTCAAAAAGACCTTGCGGAGTTCGAGATCTGCGGATAAATGCTAAACTGCCAATGTGGTTTCCTATGCAATAGA